AATATTTGGAAGGGATACATTTTGAAAATGTCTGTAAACAAAGAAGTTATACTATCATTCACTTACAAATAATGTTTTCTTATATTTGCAGCTATTCCCTGACTCTTATAGATGCACTTGACACATTAGCTGTAATGGGCAACTTTTCAGAATTCAGAAGAGTAGTAAATATTCTCATCAAAAAGCCAAATTTCGATGCCAATATTAATGTATCCGTATTCGAAACTAACATCCGTATCGTGGGTGGATTACTCAGTGCCCATTTACTTTCTCACAGGTATGTTATCCAATTTGCTCCTAAATCACTGCTTTTTTATGTTCAAAATACCTAATGAGCATTAATATGTGTCTCAGAGCTGGAGTTGAACTCGAACCTGGCTGGCCCTGTAATGGACCTTTGCTTCGCTTAGCTGAAGATGTTGGGAGACGTCTCCTCCCAGCTTTTGATACTCCAACAGGTATGCCTTATGGTACTGTCAACTTGCGCCATGGTGTGCCATTAGGAGAAACGACAATTACATGTACAGCTGGGATTGGTACATTTATCTTGGAGTTTGGCACTTTGTCACGGTTAACAGGAGATCCAGTTTATGAAGAGGTAGTTGCTATTTTATTTAATATGATTTTCTCACTCTTTAGTCTCATCAAATAGTCATGCAGTCCTCATGCTGTCATTTATTAATTTCAGGTTGCTATGAATGCCCTTCTTGCATTACGTCATTATCGTTCATCAATAGGTCTAGTTGGAAATCACATTGATGTTGCAACTGGAAAATGGACAGCACTTGATTCCGGTATTGGAGCTGGTGTTGACTCATACTTTGAGTATCTGGCAAAGGGTGCTGTGCTTCTGCAGCAACCAGCTCTAATGAAAATGTTTGAAGAGAATAGAGAAGCTATTGAACGTCATCTTAAAAGAGATGATTGGCATCTTTGGGTGACCATGACCAAGGGACAAGTTACTTTACCAGTATTCCAATCTTTGGATGCCTACTGGCCTGGTGTTCTCAGTATAGTAGGTTGGTGTCGGATGTTAAATGTTAGCTTCCATTTTGTAAAATTAAGTTCATATAGCACCAAAAGTTAATCTTATTTTTCTAATTTAGGTGATATAACATCTGGTATGAAATCATTGCATAACTATCATCAAGTTTGGAAACAATTTGGTTTCACACCAGAATTTTACAACATTCCTCAGGTCCGTGATGTTGAAAAATTATCATTGTACTTCATGTATAAAAATTTCTCAGAGGAACTCTTTTTAATGAAACATTGCTTACCCTAATTTTCTAGGCTGAAGTGGGTACCAACCGTGAAGGCTATCCATTGAGACCAGAACTTGCTGAATCAGTCATGTATTTGTCAAGGGCAACAGGAGATCCCTTTCTGTTAGAAGTTGGTGTTGATATACTTCGTAGCATCCAGCACAGTGCTCGGACACCATGCGGATATGCTACAGTAAGTGCATCTTATTTTAAATATTTCTTAAAACTCGTACTTTTTCCAAAAATGATTGGTGAAATATTAAATTTATGTGATTATTGTATTGTGCACTTTGTGTTTTTTTAGATTAAAGATACCAGAGACCATCGTCAAGACAATAGAATGGAGTCATTCTTCTTAGCTGAAACCACAAAGTATCTTTATCTTCTATTCGACCCTGACAATTTTATCCATAATCGTGGACAGCATGGCTCTGTCGTTAAAACTCATTGGGGAGAGTGTGTGATGGAAGCTGGTGGATATGTTTTCAATACAGGTAGAAACATTATAACGTCGAGGTAATATTCATATGTATTTTTCAATTCTTCTCAACTAATGTATGTGTTACAGAGGCTCATCCTTTTGATGCTGGTGCATTACATTGCTGTAGCAAAGCAAAAGATCGACCATTCATCTTGGATCTTGATTCTTTTCGTGGGGAGACTTTGCAAGAACACCAGAAGAGAGAGAACATAAAAAAACGGGTGGACAAGCTCAAGCGGGAAAAGCAAATGCTTGAACTCAGACTCAAACAACTGACTGAGCAAACAGGAGCTATAGGTAACTATAGTAACTTAATGAATAAGCACTCTCTTAAAACCATCTTGTTTTAAATTTATTCACCCCTGCCCTTTTTATTTTCAGTTAAGTTAAAGAAATCTCTTTCAACTCTGGAACAAAGCAAACCAAAACCTGTCAGAGATGATTCTAATCAGGTGGGAAAAAAAGAGCAATCCTCTAGTGCCTCTAGTCCTACAAGTGAGAACACTGAACATGTGAATGTGGGCATTGGTCAAGTAGTTGAAGTGAAGTGGCATGGGACTGCAGATGGTGATGCTGTTTGGCACACCAAATCAGAAGGAAACTCCCTCCAGCAGGATAATATCAAAGAAAAGCAACAAGATGTAGAAGAAGTGGACCCACATGTAGTGGTAACTTATCAGTCAGAGCGAGCTAATAAACAAGATGGTGAAGGTGCTATTCATCCTGATGAAAAGCTTGAGACTGCTTTTGAAAGTATGCCTCACTTTGACAGAGATGAGAATATGGAAGAGAAAAAGTCTAGATCCAGTGGATTAAGTAATAAAAATCCATCCTTCTTATCTGGACCACCCAGCCATCAGGAGCCAGCTGCACTGCCTGATGTGTTGGGGGTTTCTACTTTATTGGATACTCTGGATTCATTATTTGCTACACAAACAAAATCACAGCTCAAAGAGAAGAAACCATTTGATCCTCAAGATTTGCTTACTCAAATCCGATACCATCCTCAGTATTTTGTGAACAGTTCATGGGTGAATGCATATGAGTTTTTGTCCTGTGACCTTCAGCCATTTTTGCAGAGGTGGTCTATGTCAGGAGAGTTCTTTTCATCCTCATAACAAAATGATTGATAGAGACTGATGTTCTTCATGCAACAAGTTTAATTAAATGTCTATTGTGTTTTAATTCAATAGGCTTGAAAAAAATGAATAGTGTGCTATGTACCAAGGATTTAGTAGGTATCCATTTCTCATTGTCTGAATGACACTTGAGGTGAATGAAGACTGGTTTAACATAAGCTAGACAAAGGCACCAATTCCATTTCATCTGTACTAATGCTCATTTGCTAACATCTTTTCCCAGATGCTCTATATATTTGCTAAATTGCTCAGTATTTTTCATTTTCTACAAATTTTTTAAACAAAGTGGCATATCTTAGGCTTTTGAACCAAGATTTGTTTTACTCAAATTGTATTAACCATATTGTTATTTGTTATCTTTGGTCTTGCAAGATGCTTGAAATTGTCAAAACATTCCTTTATTTTTTCAATTTCTTACCAATTATGCAGTATGGCTGTGTTAAAAACTTGTTCATAAGGAGAGTTTATGTGTGATTATAGTGTAAGGTGTCCATTGATGGGACTTAATCGGTGTTGTTGTTTTCAGTTTTTCTTAATTTAGATATCTGTGATCTAAATGTTTTTTCATGATGTACATTACATTTGTTCCCTGTTGACTATTTGCTGCATCTTTTGTTATGCAGGACTTCTGTAAAATTGTTAATTGGGGATGAGGGTACTTGATTGAATTTTCCTGATTATATGTGTGTTAAAATGTTTCTGTTTTGACAAGACAAAAAGGTGATCTACCTCCTTCCTTCTGAGGCACTTCTTATTTCAATAAGAAAGATCTTCTCATTGTTAGAAACAGTCATATATATTTATTTTTTGAAACCTTGTATGTACATACAAATTTGCCAGTGGTCAATGGGTAGAATATGTACAGTTTTATCTAATACAATTTATGTACATATGACTTAGGCAAACAAATCATTGTAATTTTTTTTTATAAGTTTGTGTTGATTTATAAAAAATGAAACAAGAAATAATTATTTTCTTATTGATATTTTATGCCTTAACTTTATATCACTTTTAATTCTCGTCCAATGGATACGAAAGCATCAACACAATAGTCTATATCCTCCTCTGTGTGAGCTGCTGATATTTGCACTCTTATCCGTGCTTTGCCTTGAGGGACAACTGGATAGCTGAATCCCACAACATATACTCCTCTACCTGTAAATAAGTGTTGGGTATGAAGAAATTAATTTTAAGCTACCATTGATTTATCAAAAAATTATGATAAATTTTACTCACTTAACATTCTATCAGCAAACTGAGCTGCTAGTGCAGCATCTCCAATCATGACAGGGCATATTGGATGATTATCTCCTGATATTGTAAAACCTGCAGCTTTCATCATGGTGCGAAACTTTTCAGTTCCCGTTTTGAGTCTGGATATGAGCTGGTCTGGTGATTTTAACAGTATATCAAATACCTGAAAATGTTTGAGTATTGTGGTTTTATAATCTGCATTCCACATTAAATGATGGATTATTATTTAATCTCAGCTGTCACCTTATTAGCTGTTGCTGTAATGGCTGGTGGAGGGGAGTTTGAAAACAAATAAGGCCGAGATCGTTGCCTTAAAAGTTGAATTAATTCTTTTTTGCCTGTGGTATAGCCCCCGGCTGCACCACCTAGTGCTTTACCAAGAGTAGAATTGATTATGTCAACTTTTCCACTCACGCCATGGTATTCTTCAGTGCCCCTGGAATAGACAAACTAGTTTTATTACTGATTTCGGTTGACACTATGTGGATAGTTAAGCTATTCGAATCATTACCTTCCTGTGCTACCGAAGAATCCAGTAGCATGGCACTCATCAATGAGAGTCAAAGCTCCGTATCTCTCAGCCAATTCGACTATTTGGGGAAGTGGAGCCACTGTTCCATCCATTGAGAAAACACCATCAGTGACAATGAGCTTAATCCTGCTGCTTGAGTTTTCCTTCAGCTGCCTCTCCAAGTCTAAGAAAAACAAATTACACATAGAGAAATCCAAAATTCTAGACAGGTTGTGGCACATGTTAGGTGATTTGGAGAAAAAGAGTAGAGTTACCTTCCATGTCTCTGTGCTTGTAACGGTTCTTTTTGGCCTTACACAAACGAATCCCATCTATAAGAGAGGCGTGATTGAGTTCATCTGAGAGGATAGCATCCTCAGGACCAAGCAAAACCTCAAATATTCCTGCATTTGCATCAAAACAGCTTATATACAGTATAGCATCCTCTCTTTCATGAAATTTTGCAATTTTCCCTTCCAACTCCTGTCGGTTGTAGAGTTATCAACGGTTAGTTTCACCGAAAAAAATAATCCTTGATAACATTTGACTGCTACATGGTCTTTACCTTGTGGATATCTTGAGTACCACAAATAAATCGGACTGAACTGAGGCCGGCTCCATATTTGTCAAGGGCAGCTTTTGACGCCTCTATGACCTCCCGGTTGTTCTGCGAACAAAGCGAAAAACACACGTAATCGCGGCATTCACCAAAGTGACGGACATGTGTGAAAACCCTGCCTCAGCAGCTCGATGTGACGTGACGTGTGACGCTCACCGCGAGGCCGAGGTAGTTGTTGGCGCAGAAGTTGAGGATGGGCCCCTGGTGGTTCTGCACCCTGACGGTCACCTTCTGCGGGGACACGAGAATGCGCTCCTCCTTCCACGTCCCCGCCGACTTGATGTCCTCGATCGTCTGGTCGAGGATCGCCCCGAGCTGGGCCTGCGCGTGAGAGCGCCGGCAGGGCGGCAGGGACTGCGCCCGCTGCTGGCGAAGGACCACTGCAACAGGACCGGGCGATCAGGCGGGGCGGGCGGCGGTCATTCCCTGTCCACGTCTATACACGTCCACGATAGTGAAACATGTTGTGATGTAATTTTAAAGTTCACCTGTTTAGCGCCACAGCGCCACCTGTCACTATGACCGACTGTCTATTGTCACCTCTGAGTCTATATAAGTTGCTGTCATGCATTAAATAAACCTCTCTGATCAGAACAATCTCCTGCAGTTATTTCACGTTGTCACTCCTCAGAAACCTCAACTTATAACAAAACATCTCCCATGCGCTGATGATGTGGCGAACCGGCGCGGCATACGGCATTTGCGTTCATCATTATAGCCGAGGGGAATGACCAATTAGATGGCCTTTGTCCTGTATGCAACGGAGAGGCGAGAGGGGCGGGCAGGTTCGGTGCGAGAGGGGGGGGGACGACGCCTCCTCTTCTCCCGACGTGCTGCCGCGCTGTGATATCTAAGGTAGTTAGGCCCGGGCCCGGGGTGTGGTCACTGGAGAGAGCCACCCTCGCAACCCGAAAGGGTCTGCAGTTAGCGGTTTACAGGATTTGCAATAAGCTACAAGCGATTGGGCTTGCAAGCCCGGCATTCCCGGCATGCAGGATGCAGGCGAGCGGGCAGGTTTATCGTTCCAAACAGTAGCGCCTTACGGCTACGAGCACATAGAGATCGTCCAGAAAATAGTCCGTCCAAAGATTTTTTCGGCAAATTACGCGGGAGCTCGGCGCCTGCGAGGCTCGGGGTAGGCCACCCCGCAGTACACGCATGCCCTGCAGGCGAGATGCTGCCTACCTACCTGCGAATCATCTTTTTAGATGATCTCACGGACAAACCCACACGCACGCCTGCATGCCGAATGGTGTCGTGCGAAAGTCGCGCGAAAGTGGCAAATCACCCTTCGGCGGGGTAGCCAGCCCGGTATAGAGGCGTGCGGTTGGGTTGCCTAAGGGATCGTCCGCAAAGTACGTCCGTGATTCGCCGTTCCGAACCCACCAAGTTCAGCTTCTGCATCTGCTAGCTCTCATAGCGCCTGGTAGGTAGGCAGCATCTCGCCTGCAGGGCATGCGTGTACTGCGGGGTGGCCCACCCCGAGCCTCGCAGGCGCCGAGCTCCCGCGTAATTTGCCGAAAAAATCTTTGGACGGACGTATTTTCTGGACGATCTCTATGTGCTCGTAGCCGTAAGGTGCTACGGTTTGGAACGATAAACCCGCCCGCTCGCCTGCATCCTGCATGTCCACTCGCTGTGGCCGCGGCCGGCCAGCTGTTGCTTGAGCTGCAGCGATACACGAACATCTTACCATCGAGTCATGCGCAGTCTTTTGACTGATTGTTTGGGTCACGGCTCAACTCTCTGCCATAACTTTAACTGGTGTAACTCTGGGCCCTACGCGTGACAGCGTCCAAAACTGAATAACAATGACTCCACCGACCGTGATGGTGAGTTTTCGTGTTTATTGTTCGTGTCCGTACGAGGCTGTGCAGCCAGCGGGCTCGAGGCTGCTGCCGGACTCACCGCAGCACTGGCGGAGCATCCTGGAGGCGCGGTGCGGGGCCTGTGGCGAGATCCTGGGGAAGTGGGCGACGGCGGGCGGGTGTCACTGCGCAACGCGCGACTGAATCCGGCGACGCGCCGCTTGTAAATGCGTGGCCGATGAGGCCTTGAGACGAGCACGGCCCGGCGACCCAGCGACCGACAGAGCATACACACCCGGCCGTAGACTGCGTTGGCGCGGTGCGGCCGGCGCGGCCGGCGCGGCTGCGGCCGCCGCAGGTGGGGAAGGAAAGGGCCTGTCTCCAAGCGCGGTGGGGCGGGGCGGGGCGGGGTGGGGCGGGGCGGGGCTCCGGTGTGACGACCCATCCGTGCATAAGTGCGGCGGCCAGCACACGGCTGCGCGTTGCTGAGCCGGAGGCCGAGCTTGTTCCGTGCCGACTGTGCGGCGTTCGACTCCGATGAGCAGCAGCAACCCGACCAACGGGTCCGAGAATGAAAACAACATCCTGTCAAGGCCACGGACGTGTTGTGTATGAGCCCGGGCCGGCGTGGCGTTGCTGGGGGGAATGGAAAAGGAGGGGGGGGGGGCTGGCATGTTCAGCCAGGACTCGTGAGCCGTAGCCAGCACCTCCGGGCTGAGGGGGTGAGTCGTCGTGACCCCGTTTTCAATATTAAAAAAAGTTACTCCACCCCCCAAAAATACAAAAAATACTCAGTTTTCGTTGAAACTTCCGTGTATGATTTTTTTCCTGGCAAAAAACGTCTTTAGGCCGCAACCCTGGCTCAAAGTCGGAAAAATTGACATTTTCACCTAAAAATGCCTCGTTTACGCTTAGGGACCAATCAAAAATGACGTCACGCTGTTTTTCCCGATTTTTGACCCCCTCTACCCCTATTGTCACATTTCGTCACGGTTTTGCTGACCCCCCAACCTGGCGTGACGTCTCAAATAGGCATATTTACCTAAAACTGGAGATTTATTTTAAGCTATATTTTTCTCCCTTGGTCTGAAGGTTAATCAGTAGGATCCAATCGCTACATTTTACTTTCAAATATCTTGTAAAATGGCTTCGGTTGACGCGTCTGTGCTACAAAACTGAACAGACCCGGCAATGGCCGTTAAGCTAGCGCACCGAGATTCCTGCGTTTGAACAACTCAAAGTAGGTCTAAAGGTGAGGTATATTTATTTCCATTTTTTTCCCTCGAACACTATTTACCCCACAGCATCTGGGCAAAAACAGAAAGTTTATATTTGTGACACACACCTTTCCAATGCGTCCCAACCCCCTGCGGAGAAAATTGAAAAAAAACCAAAAAAACAATACAAAAGAGTCTTTAGTAGTGTCACTTAGTAGTGTGCAAATATTGAACAGTACACTGGAAAAACAATGGCACCCTTTTAAGGGTGCTGTTGAATTTTAAGGGGTGCTGCTGCACTCGTGCCTTTGTAGAGGA